CCAAACCACATCTGGATTTACGTCCACTGTGGGTGAAAATTAGATCGAGTTACTTCCACATTGATTAAACCGAGCGATCAAAACAACGACAGAGTTTCCAGACTTCAGATGACCCAGAAAACAACAACAGCTGGATGACTTCATGGCGTCGTCACTGCTGGCAGAAACAGAAGCTGTGAAATCATCGATGACGTTTGCCCACATGGACGCACGCACGTGCCGGCGTGACCATCAGCTGAACATATGGAGGTCCACGCCGGCCGTAGTAAAACCTGGACTCAAAACTTTACAACACACATGTTTGGAGCATCAGGTGATCACAGAGAGAGAACAGGTCAGCTGATAACTGAGCAGGTGTATCAGTGGGAGTGACACGTGATAACTTACTGGGGAACGGGGAGCACTGGTCCTGTCGAGGGGAAGGATGCCAGGAGGAGATGTTCGGGGTGAATCCGTCCAGTTGAACCTTTTCCAGGGTCTGAGAGTCCAGGAGGGCAGAACTGAAGGTCAGGACACGACGTAGGGACAAAGAAGGCAACGAGGGACCAGGTGAGCGAAACAGGTAACATAGTGGATTCTGAGCCCAGGTAAAGGTAACCTGCAGACAGCAAGGTCAACACAGGAGAGTCAAGACACTGAGATAACGACACGGCGCACAAACGCTACCATCAGACAGCAGCAGGCAGTCTGTGAGGAGAGGCTGCAGCTGCTCCTTAAATACTGGCTTTGATTGTGAGCTGATGGAGCGCAGGTAGGAGAGCCACGCCCACCTGGGGAACGCTCAGAGATCCTATAAAGGTTTAGGCAACAAAACAGACTGTGTGAGGTTCAGAGAAACATGATAACTGAACCATGACATGATGCAGGAAACTTTAAAAGACTCGTATCCTACATCATTATTATTTCTATCCGATGGTGTTTGATGTGGACTGGTTGGTGTTTGTGTCGACGCCGATGCTTCTGCTTCTCCAGCTCTGGTCTGGATTACTGTGCAGTTACGTTCAGCTTCCTGCAGACGAACTCGGATGATTTTGTTCTGCAAGGCGGGCAAAGAGAAAACACGACTTCGTTTCCTGTGTAAAGCTGCACAGATTTACACGCGTCAGCTGCCAGACACTCGCTGCCTTGTTTCCACTGCACTTCTCTTTCCTCCCTTCCTTTAAGACACCGTGAGCTCGGCTCGTCTTTGGCGTCTCTGACACCTGCTGCGACGGGCAGAAGGTCGGGCGTTGGGCTGTCAGCACCACGGGGTCGATGCCATCTCTGACTGCTTCGTTCCTCTCGCTGACCTTCATATTATTACTCGCTGGAAACACCGAACCGTCGTCTCGCGTCTGGTAGCCTGATGAGTTTTTCATCTGAAGCCTTGGAGATGGACGAAGACGTCACTCGCGCTGACACTAAAACACGTCTGTCCTCGCTCCGGCCTATAAAAGACTCACTCAGGAAGAGACAAACTGTGCTCCGTCTGAGGCCAGCAGCTATGATGGACCCGTGATCTCAGAGCGCAGACTGAGACAAGGATCAGATGAAATCTGGTGCACAGTTTTACAAACAGCACTTTGAATGAGGGGAAGGTCGACGCTCATCTTCAAACCTTCACAGTCTAAATGTGTTTTTGGCCTTAATGGTTCTTGCAGCCTGATGTCAGCACTGCTGCTTCTCCCGTCTACGTCCACACCAGCTCGTCTCAGTTACAGACAGAAGCTTCTGTTTGAGGGTCGACTCAGGCCCAGGACGCTCTGCTGGAGGTATAAACTGCTGCCTGACAGGTGTGA